ATCTGCAAACTTCCTGGCTTACCTTGGTTGGACAGAGGGATCCCTATAATACAAAGATCTATTCCTGGGTGCTGAGGCAACAAATTTTCCCACCATCTGGTATAGAGGCCTATATGCTTATGTCATAAAACTGCAAGAGAAAGAAACTACAGACAGAGGAATAGCCAAGAACCCATAATGATATCCAGGAAAGATTATCCTCAAACAGAACAAAACAAACATCCCAGGTCTAACGAGCACGAATCTACAGTAAGCACCCTTCCCTGCCATCTGGTCCCCATGCGCACCCCACATCATACACAGAGAGGGGAAGAAACCACACCAACAAGCTCCATGCCTATCCCGACACTGCACACTGCCAAGCTCAACTGAAAGAAGAGAGAAGTCTTGCTATTAAATCAAGTCCAGACCTTTATTTCTAATTCAGATGATACACAAATCTTACTTATTTGAGAATTTTTGCCCTCTGCAATCTACAGAGACCAAAGTACTGTTTCTGAACATTAGGCAGAAAAGTCTTTCTCTTTCCAGAGTCTTACCTAGAGAATAACCCTCACCTGTTGCACAATGGGTTACTGGGGTCGTTAAAAATTAAAAAAATGGCAAACCCCAAGTCATATCCGAGATTCAGTGAATCAAAATTCCTAAAAGTGAGCTCTATGATATGTATTAAAATATAAAAGAAAATCATAATTAAAATGTCCAGAGAAGAATACATCCAGTGAATTCATTTTAAGGGATGAATAAGAAAACAAGATGGAATAAAATTAGTGTGTTCATCCCAAGTTGCACTCTTCATTTTGCTAGAAGAGTAATGCCACCTTTCTCTTTATGTCATTATGAAGTTGAAAGCTGTATGAACATAACCTCAAACTAACCAGAGCTGAGTCCAGTTCTAAACACAGGATAAAAAAAAAGATTTGTTGAGCCCCTTTAGTTTGGGAAAGTGTTCCCTTTCCTCAGCCACTAACCAGGATACCACCATTAATAGACAGGGAAGGCACTGGCCTGATGTCCAGTGATCTTGAAGACAGATGAAGGATCTAGCAACAACAGAGCCTCCCGTTAGCACCTTAGCTGGTGCTCAGATCTGAGACCTATGAGGTTCTGTCCCCTGGAGACACATTTCAGGGGGAGTTTTCCTGTCCACACATCTGCAGAGGTTGCTGGTGGCTCCTGCCCTGCTTGGGGATGATAGGAGGGCTCTCTGCCTCCTTCTCCCTCCACATGTAAAAGGCAGAGGAACTGTTTCAATGTCCACTGTCTCCACACCAAGCATAAGGAAAAGCAATCAAGAATATGTCCATCAGTCCTTCTGCCAGGCTCACCCATTTGTCATTTTTTGGGAGATTTTTTGTGTTCATTTGTTTTAATTCCTTCCAACAGTCTTCTCTCTTCAAATAGAGAATTGGCTCCACCACAGCAATTGGCCAAAATTCAACTCTCCGGAACCACCCTCATCTCAGTTTGGGGGGAAGAGAATTAAACTTTCTTATCAATTACTATAAGAATATAGCATAACTACTGAAGGAATATAAATGTAATTATGGAGAGACTGTTGTTATTAAGTTAGAATGTTTAGATTAGAAATGAAAATATATCTGTGTGAATATATGCTCATGTGAGAATATATATGCTACTTATTTTTTCTTTAGTTTTAAAGAATAGAGAGAATAGAAGCAATTCTAAGAGTAACCATTATCTCTATGTAAAGCTTCAAGTCTCACAAATAACCACAGAGACTCTATTACAGAAGGCAAATGAGTTAACTCTCTGAATGGCCACCCTGCTTTACGGACCACCAGGGCAGTTATGTCCACTAATGCTTTAGGTCCTGTCTCTTTCATTTCCACTTTCACTTATTACTCCTTAATAGTTTTGGGAGGAGGAATTAATGTTTTATATAAGCAGAAATTTGCTTTTTAAAAGTTAGTAAATGAACATGAAATGAGAAAGAAGAGAAAGAATTTCTTTTTAAAATTTAGTTTCAGTTTTATATTTGATAAATAACTACATTTAAAGGGAATTTTGAGAGAATATAAATTATTTTCATGCTAGACAATAGCTCTTTCCTATTAGTGTTAGTAAAAAAAATAACAGAAATGTTATTTTAAAATGAAATCAATTAAATAAAAAGAGTTAAATTCTACTAAACACTGACACTGTGTAAAAAATTCAAAGGAAAATAGATCAAAATCATGTCTGAAATAATGACTGCTGGGCTTCCACTGACAGAGCTACTCATCTACCAAAGTACAGAGGCCGCGGAATTGTATGTGTCGCTGGCATTAGGCACCTAGGTCAGGGTGTCTGATTGTTTCTGGCATTTATGGAGAGGGGATGGAGCAGAGTGAAGCTGAGCTAACGTGGGGGTGGGGGGGCAAAACCCTGGGTCCCTGAGTAGGCTCGGGAGCCCTGACCCTCACCTGCCCTGATTTTCTTTAGTTCTCAGGGGCCTGAGCTGGGCTGGCCGGCTGCACACCCTGCTTCATGGGTGTGGGTGGGGATTGCCCCTGACATAACAGTCAGAGATAGCACTCCTGAGTTCCCACCAGAGCCCTGATGACTCGCTTATAGGGTGTTTCTTTCCAGACCGATTTTAAGACTCTTAAACACCAGACCTTCACCTTTAATCTTGCTCACTTCAAACAACTTTAAAAAGCAGTAACGAGGGGGCTGGAGCAGTAGCACAGCGGGTAGGGAGTTTGCCTTGCATGCGGCCAACCCAGGTTCGATTCACAGCATCCCATATGGTTCCCCGAGCAATGCCAGGAGTGATTCCTGAGTTCAAAGCCAGGAGTAACCCCTGAGCATCGCCAGGTGTGACCGAAAAAGCCAAAAAAAAAAAAAAGCAGTAATGGATAAACTCAATTCTAATTTTTAGGGCGTTTGCCTTTCACACAGCCAACATGGCCGACCCGAGTTCGGTTCCTCCGCCCCTCTCGGAGAGCCCGGCAAGCTACCAGGAGTATCTCGCCCGCACGGCAGAGCCTGGCAAGCTCCCCATGACGTGCCAAACACAGTAACAACAAAGTCTCCAATGGAGACGTTACTGGGCCCGCTCGAGCAAATCGATGATCAACGGGAGGGCCTTTACTTTACTTTACTTTAGTAATATAATAATAATAGCCCTTCAGTTTTGAGACAAATGTAATGAAAGATGTTGACAAAGTGGAAACTGAAAGGATATCTGGGAACTCTCAACTGCATGTATAACTTTTCTATAAATCTAAAATTATTCATGAGACTATAAAGACACTAATTTACAAAGGTATTTGTACCCCATGTTCATCCATCACAGTATCATTCATAAAATTTAAGAATCAGAAATAGTCTTAACTTATTGCAAGGTGAATGTATTAAGATGTGTCATATAACCAAAACAGAACACTCCACTGCACATAAAGCAAAATCTTGTCATTTGTAATAACACAAACAAACTTAGAGTAAATTCTTAGTGAAATTTTGTCAAAAAAAAATAAGTATTCAAGTATTCCATTTTCTCTACATCCTCTCCAATAGATTAGTTTTGATAAATGCCAGTCTAACAGATCAGAGGTGATTTTTCATTATTGTTTTGTTTGCAAATCCTTATTAATCCATACTGAACATCTTTTCCAATGTCTATCCGATTGTTGTTGTTATTGGTTTTGGGGGCCATACCCAGTGGTAGTGAGGACTTGCTCTTCACTCCTCTCAGGGGTCACTCCAAGAGGTGCTCAGGGGACCACATATGTGCTAGGAATGGAACTAAAATCAGTCCTGTGCAATGAAAGCTACTAAACCCCAGTACCCCAGTTCAAACTCTGTTTCCTTTGGGTAAATGCTAATCAGATATCATGCTCCTTTTAAAAGTTAGCTTATTTTTCATTATTTTTAGTGCTTATATGTTATGAATTATTTATCTATTTAGGATATTAAACTTTTTTGGATATATGATTCACAAATACCTTCAAAGAAAATCATATAATATGGAGAATTATAAATGTCATTTGACTTTTCTAATATTTTTTCTCTAATATATATGTGTATAAAACATACAGTAACTAATTTCTGGATAAAGAGAACCACAGATCTGTGGTTATCAGAGAGAAAGAGGGATAGTATGAAGATCAATTGTTTGGTAAACATAAAAAAAGTTCATAATATTGCATACACATATGTTGAACTATAAATCTACACACCAAATTCTTATATGATGCTATAAACCAATGTTGCTTCAATAAAATGTCATTTACACAATAAAATTCTGACATAATAGCATAATCTGAAGTAGATAAATGCTCAACAATTATCCTTGCTACTACTAGGGCTCACACTGAAATTCTCCAGTCTACCCCTGATACCCAGCAATCCTTTGGTCAATGGAAGTTATGAGACTTAGGAAAACAGTTCATGATCTGAGAATAACAGACACCACAGCCCAAGTGAGCAAAGAATTCCAGAAAGTGTCTTCTCATCCAGGGATGAGCAAGTTCCTGAATTTCGAATGGCCAAGGAACTACAAAATAAATCTTAAATGCTCATATTCCTACCACAGCAAATCTGTGGATTAGTTTTTCATGGGTTTTATCTTTGTGGGTATAAAATACTATTAAAAAGGTGAGACAAAATCATATATTTATATTGCTTTAAAAAATGATTCCCCCACCATCTCCTTGGGAAGAACAAACTTCTTGGTGTTGGAAAAAAGCATAAAGATTGAAAAGATGACTTGGAACTGAACCAAGTTTTTAAGAGCCCTTGCAAATTTTTTACTGTCCTCTTGCATATTGCTCTTATGGTGAGGCCTGCCTAATGTAAATGCTCCTTTTTCACCCAACACCCCGGAATAGATAAATCTCTATTTATCTATCTATCATAAGATAAATCTCCCAACTGGCTTACAAACCTATAAGAAGACTAAACAATGAAGTTTTTAGATTTGGGGGTAGTTTACTATTCACATGATTTTTGCCAACAATAAAATGATATAGCCAATCCTCTCCCCAGAAAAGTACCTCCATTTCCAGGCCAGCGCATGAAGTGAGCAAAAATCTGTTTTTCATCCTTCCCATACTCATTCTTGGCTACTAACTTGTAGTCCCCATTATTCACGTGAGTGGGATTATCCAGCTGGAGGCAGCCATGGTATTCCGTATGATTGGTAACATGGATTTTGGTACAGATGTATTTGGACTCGTTCAATATGGCCCCTTTATAGAACCACTGAAGCGTTGGTTTGGGGTTGCCTTTCACAGTGAATGGAATGCACCAGTGGTGGTCTGAGGTTGGAGATTCGAGAAATGTGATAGTTGGAGCAACTAAATTGAAAAAGAGAGAGTTAATAGTATCAGAAAGCTCAGAATTTTTCCCCTCTCCAGATCTGTGTTATTGGTAGAAGATTTTATTCTCTTATTATTTTGCTTAGCAAAACACATAGCAAGGAACTCTGGAATCCAACCATAGTTTGTATCCTCATCAAGGCTAATTGAACTTCCTGTAGAGGGCTTCAGAAAAATTATTTTACTGTCCTACTCACAAATAATAAGTTACTTTTCAAATCTATTCAGTATGGGAACTAGGTCCAAACAGATTCAAGAGATTTCTGACAGAGTAAAAGGTTCATTTCAGGTGAACTTTGGTTTGAAAAATATATGCCATTAATATTACATAAAACAGATAATATAAAACAGATAAAACAGATCAACAGAATGAATGTTGCTACTGGTACTGGTATTGATTATTATAAAGCATGATAAATTTAGATTTGTCACCGACTGTGAGTAGCGAATGCTATTTAAAAATAGAACTTTACAATTATAGTACAATTCACTGTTTGATATGATTTTAGATGTGAATGTTTTGATCATTTAATGTCAACATTTAAAGATCATGTTTGAACCTAGTCACACTAGAAATTACCTTAACTTTAAGTAGAAACCACTTTATGCTTTGAGGAAACAAACATTATGAAGTTAAAAACCATAGAGAAGTTACTTATCCTGAGTGAAGGAATTTATAATCCCTCACCATGGCGTTTGTATGTAATCTAACTTTGATAATTGTAAAATCAAAAAATGGAAAAGACCTTCAAAGTCTCATAGCATCAGTTGTCAGATGAAGAAACCCAAGTCCAATATTGTTAAGTGAATTGGTCAAAGTCACTGACCAAAGCAGAGCTGGAAAAAGGATCATGAAATATCAAAGCATAATCCAGTAGTAGCCTTTCCCTTTCAGAAACTTTCTCCTGGTTGTATGTTTATTGTGTGAAAGGGAAAATTTCATACACTATAACAAATATACTCTGCAAGGAATGATTGAAATATTTATCTCAGTTGTTAATATTGTTTATCACTATTCCTTCCACTGATTATCTTGAAATATATGGTTAATTCTTCAGAGGAAGGCAACCATAAATACATTATCATAATCTAAAGAACTTTTGAATTTGAGTACCATTATCTCACAATACATCCTAGTTTTACTCAGAGAAGTTCTTCCAGAATACCCAAGAAGTAGCACAGCTGATAAGTTAACCCAATTCACATTCAAAAACCTACAGGAGAAATTCCTTAAAGATGAGTATGTGGAATTTCTGAGCTCTGCAAATATACAGGGTCATACCTTAAGAAATGCGTTATAACATCATTTAAACATATAAAGTTTATCAGTTGTATTTCATAGACATCCTTAAAATAGTCTTTAGAAAATAGAACAGTTTTAAACATATAATGGAATCTATGAAAATTGAATTAAAACACAATTTTCGGGGGCTCTGTAGTCATAAATCAATGTAAGGAGCACAGAGACAGACATATTTATAGGCCTGTGTTACAAACACATAAGGCACATCAGGGGAGAGATGGCAGTTACCTCCTCCACCGCCCTGGCCCCCACACCAGGGTCCCTTACTCCTGCTACCAAGCTCAAATAAGCTTTTGATGAGATGCTTATTTAAGAACCTAAGTTGGAATATTGTTGCCTTTTTATGAGAGTAATATTAACTTCAGGCTTCCTTGGGATCAGATGATGAGGAATTATGAGGAATGATGAGGAATCCATTAACCTACTAGGCTTCACAGAAGTAACAGGAACACAGTGTAATTGATTTGAGTGGTTCACTGCAGCAATCACTTATGAAATATGTGCTGTGACACTAATGTATTAATCCTATGTGACTACATGTGTGTAATGCCAATTTATACTTACATGCATGTACACTCATGTTTTCTCAATCAAATTTCAATCCAAATGAAAACATTTTAAATATATTCAGAATTTGGAGTGCTCTATGATTTTTAGCTGAATATTGTTTATGGTGAAATTCATAATGTAGAAAAACATATATGTTCTCTAATTTACAGTTCCAGGAAATAATACACACACAATTAAGCAGCTCCATCTCAGTTTCAACATATTTAGAAATTTAAAAATTATATATAAATTTTTAATTTCAAGTTGCAAGTGGTAATTTCCAATAACTAAAGTAGGACTTCTTCAAACTTCCTCTAAAAACTGTAAGTTAAATGAAAGAGGTTTTTATGTTCTGATTGCATAATTAGGCGTTTTTTGAACAGCCAGCCCAATACTTCAGTAAGTTCAACTTCCCTTTGCTTTTATAGAGGAAAAAAAAATTAGAAATGAATTAATGAGAATTTAAGCTAAAACTTATTAACAAGAAGAGGAAAGCCAGCTCAAAGTATATGCTGTGAAGAAAAGGTGGGGAAATAACAGAAGACAAAGTTAAGGTTGAAAAAGAACCTTCAAAACACAAGGAACAAGCAAGAGAAATTAGCAGAAATAGGACAAGAGAAAGAAGCAGATGACAGTTCTTAACTAAGTACAAAAACACTGTGAATACTTTCTAAACACACTTAAGCAGCACCCAGGGTGCCTCACAACAAAAGGTGTGCCAATAATCATTTGCTACTAAAAACATATGCCAGTCTGATTACGTACAATGTACAGTGAGGTTGACAGAATCTTGATCTTCTCCTACAATATTTTCTGCCACACACGAGATTTGTTTTCCACTGTCATCAGATGAAATGTTAGTTATCCTTAAGGATCCCTGTGTGTGGCTTGTTTCATTCTATAAATAAATTAACAGACAAAAATAAACTTTATTAGAGCTGACCCAAAAGTGATAGGATTTGGGTTTTTTCCCCACTAACTAGAGGGAAATACACTATTTAAAGGGTTTCTGACCAGAGTCAAGCTCAAACAAAAGTATAAATCAGAGGTTAATTTGTTTCTCATATTTCAATTGTTTAATAAGTGTATTATTTTGGTCTTTGAATTCTGACCTACATTCCTCCTAGAGAAAAGAAAAGCAGGCGAATAATTCACCTTGCTCACAATGAAGCAACAAATTCAGGAGAGAAAGGGACTCCCTATTCTATTGGGTATTCATATTCAACTACAAACCTCCATTAGACTTTCAAAATAAAGAATGAAATTATCTATGTGTTCATTTGAATTACTAAACATTAAATGTTAAGACACACTTGTTTTTTATATGGCCTAAAATTTTATTTTACCTAACCTTTTATTATAGTTCAGGTAGCATGATTGCATCTTAAAATTTATGGTATCAATGTGCAATATTACTACCTGTACCCCACAACCTCCAAAGTACCCAAGGTCCCCACCACTGTCCCTGTGTCCCCTCAAGTCAGATCTTCATGTGCCCCACAAGCCTATCTCAATTTGTTTACCAGTTTCATAATCCAAGGCAAAAGGTTTAAGACACACTTAAGAAAACTGCCTATAAGCACAGCCATCCTCAAGTCTTACCATATGTTTGGAAATCAGATTACCAACATCCCAGTACAGATTTGGGACTGGATCGCCTGCAACATTACAAGATAAGATGACAGATGTTCCTTCTTCCACTGTAAGGTTGGGTGCAGCCAGATTTGCAGATGGCAATCCTGAGTGATGAAAGAAACACAAGAGAGATACAATTACAAACTGAAAGCTATACTGTAAAACCCAGACCCATTTACACTTAGGCTGATTGGTTGTTCTGATGTAGGGTCAAGCTAATAACCTTGAGAGATTCAGTGGAACAAAAAAATGTATAGAAAGACAATTTGAAACTGCAAATTATCAGAAGAGAAGATTATTCAGCACTGTAGCACTGTCCTCCCATTGTTCATCGATTTGCTTGAGCGGGCACCAGTGACGTCTCCATTGTGACACTTCTTGTTACTGTCTTTGGCATATCGAGTATGCCACAGGGAGCTTTCCAGGCTCTGCTGTGCAGGCGAAATATCTCAGTAGCTTGCCGAACTCTCCAAGAGGGACGGAAGAATTGAACCCGGGTCAGCCATGTGCAAGTCAAACGCTCTACCCTCTGTGCTCCAGTTCCTAAGATTATTTATGTGTCATCATTGTTTTATTAAAGCTAACCTTTAGTTTAAAAAATACCACTAATGTACCTATTTCTCTGTCCTACAATTACTGATCTTGTGTTGTGTGTGTGTGTGTGTGTGTGTGTGTGTGTGTGTGTGTGTGTGTGTGTGTGGAGGTAGAGGGTGGGAGAGGATGGCTGCCAGGTAGTGCTCAGGGGGTCCTACAGGCAATTCTCGGCCAATGGTTCAGTACAAATTCAGTTGAACATGCAGCTGCTTGTGTCTTCTGGGCCTGGATCCTGGCTCTCACCTGCCTTTCTAAGAATCTCCAGGGCTGCACCTGTTGACTCTTGTTACTGGGCTGGACACAAAATCAATTAAGATAAAAATTTGAAAGACTGATCTGGACAAAATAGTTCTGTTTTAATACAGGAAGTTTGGTCAGCAAAGCATTAAAATGTTTCAAATCTAACTAAATTGTAGGTCATTACTATGGGTAAAATTAGTAAAACTATAATTAGAAACACACGAATTCCTGACCATATGAAGTCTTATTTTAAAAAAAACCTCAGAAAGTAACTGTTATTAGATGAACTGTTGAAGCTTGTGATTTTTTAACATTTAAAGAAAACATAATTCTTAAACTTTTGTTTCAGAAGAAAGTTTTTCTTTATTGATTCATTATCACAACTATTAGAAATCAGTACTGCATTTTTTTTCATACATGAGGGATATGTCAGAGTTGCAACTGTACATTAGGCCCTGTCATTCATTTCAGTTATTTGCTTAGTATCAGAAACTCTACTTTAGACTGCACTTACCGGTCAAAATGATAGTGCAGAGGCTAGAGCACCACCTTTCATACAGTCACTCTGGATTCCATTCCCTGGCACCCCATGGAAGGCTGTCCAGGAATGATCACTGAATGCAGAGCCTGGGATAAGCCTTGAGCACAGCTGGGTTTGGTCCAACAACAATAACTACAACTACAACAACAACAACAAGCTGCATTTGTCAACCCTACAGCTGTGTTCCATGGATACAACATTAACCTAGGAGCAACCCAGAGGTCAGAAAAAGAAATTTGTCTTCAGCAACCTCTAAATTATAATTAACCCAACCACCTAACCATGTCTAATCTACCACCTTCAAAAGACTTTGTATAAATCCTTTCTCTATGACTCAATCTATCTTTCCTGAAAATAAAGCCATTATTCTTTATTAGCAAAATGAGACTAGATGAAGATATTTTTAATTGTATATATCTCATTAAAATCCCACCTTTGGTATAAGAATTCCAGGCAATACCTGCCTTTCAGTGACTAGTGTGACCACTTTCTGGAACCATCCAACAGAGAACAACATTGAATATTTTGTTGAGTTCCCTAAAGACCCTCACTATTCTGAAAAATACAAGAAAATAAAGCAGAGAAGTAGCCAAGAGACAATGCAGTAGGAGGAATAAGTACTGGGCCAGAAGTCAGAAACTCTAAGCTGTAAAGTAGGCTCTGTTTTAACATTGGATGAATCACTTCTTTTCTCTTAAGATTAAGCAAAATATTTTGCTCTTCCTCCAACTGTAATAATCAGTGGTATCTCATATGACAATTAAGTATTCCAACTTATTAAGTGTGATAAGGGGCTGGAGCAATAGCACAGCGGCAGGGCATTTGCCTTGCACGCGGCCAACATGGCCGACCCGAGTTCGATTCCTCTGCCCCTCTCCAAGAGCCCAGCAAGCTACCGAGAGTATCTTGCCCACATGGCAGAGCCTGGCAAGCTTCCCGTGAACTATTCGATATGCCAAACAGAGTAACAACAAAGCCTCTAATGGAGACGTCACTGGACCTGCTCGAGCAAATCGATGAAGTGTGATAAGGGAATGCTTGTACAGTGTAGGGCAATCTTAGATACCATTGAAAAGAGGGTCCTTGAGGGCAGGAATTATTTTCTTTTTCGTAAGACATTTAGTACTTTTAGTGATAGAATCTTGTCTTGAATTTATCAGTTGTTTTAAAAAAAAAGTTGTGGAATAGAAAAAAAACTGAATGTACTGGGAATGTCATAAATATGGGTTGAATTTTTTTCATTTCCTATTAATTGACCTACTTCCATTATTAACATATTGGAACTGTTAAACACTATAAGCATTAGAAATATATGGTTAGCCATAAAAGCAGAGCCAGTCCAAAGTGGGAGGAAATTTACTTGTGAAATTTAAAAACTACAGCACAAATGAAAGTATTTTTTTTAACATTTTAATATCAGTTATATGTCAAAAGGGAAACCTTTTTTGAGATTAGATCAAATAAAATGTAATTAACACTGAAATTACATTCTTCACTTAGATAACATAACTAAATTTTAGCTTTACTATGTATAATAATCTGGTTGATGTGATTTCTCCAAGATCTTTATCTGTAAAGTAGGTAAAATAAAACTACTTCATGAGTATCCTTCAACATAGAAATGCTTTTATTAACATTTTAATTGCATTTAAATAAATTTTTATTGTCATTTCTTTTGGGGGGCATATCCAGTAGTTTCAGGGTTTACTCACTCAAAGATCGGTCCTGGTGGTCTCAAAGGACCAAATGGGGTGCCGGAAATCAAACCTGGATTAGTCATACACAAAGCAAGCACCTGACCAGCTGTTCTCTCTCTTTGGCCTATTAAATATTTTTTAAACAAAAGTTTTGGTCATATTGTTTAACAAGCACAATTCTATAAAATTTATTTATTAAAATATTTAAACCACTGTATAAAAATAGCAGCTTCCCTCATATGTAGCACTATTCTTGTTCCCCAAACATTCCTTTTCTTAACATACCTTTTTGAGCGGGTCCACACCTGGCAGTTCCCAGAGCTTATCTTAGTTCTGTGCTCAAGGATTACTCCTGGTGTGCTTAGGGGACCAGATAGGGTGTCAGAGACTAAATCCAGTAAGTCATGTGCAAAGCAAGCACACTTCCTGCTGTACTGTCTCTCTCTCCAGTCCCTCTGAGCATTCAGTTTGCATCTTAAACATCTTTTCTTGACTATTTATCTCTGTATTAGAAAATAGAATGTTTATAACTTTATTATTTTTCTCTTTTAACATTATCTATGTCACTCCCATCAGGAAAGAGAAAACTAAGATTCCTTTCACACAAGACCACACCACACTATACTTCATATCCTATACTATGAAATACTGTCTCTGTTTGGAGATAGCAAGCACTTAAACTCCACAGAACCATCACATATTCTCTTATCGTATTTTATGAAATTTAAGTAGCACCAGTTAAAAGATACAATTCCGTATGTATTCTAAGGGGAAATAATGCTGATTCAATAATTAAACACTACTTTCTCACCATTCATAAATCCTAGGCCCATCTTTTCTAATTGATGGTTATTTTGCACCGTTATTTCTACAATAAACTATTTCTTATATTTTTTCTTTATCTTTTTGATAGTTTTGTGTTTGTTTCTCGAATTATAAGCTCTTCTCAAACAGTTGTGATTCTTGGCTGTTTACACATCTTAAAAGAGTGACATACTAGAAGTAATGTATAGTTATTAACTGTTAGCTTCAATATGTAACAATATCATTGACCTATTTGAAGGATAACACTTGATGCCTACATTATTAAATCATCCTGAGGAAGGAATTGGTTAAACTACTCAGCTAATTTTCTTAAAGAATCCACCTTAGAAGAGGAATAAAGATGAAAATATCACTATTCAGTGTACTTGTTCGTTTTTAAATCTGGTGTCACAGACTCAACTCTAGCTAGAATTTCTCAAAACCTTTTTTTAATCCTCTTTAGAATAAAAGCCTTCGGTTTTCTGCAGAGGAGGTGAAGGGAGTTAGGGGGAGGAGAGTGATGTAATCATCTACTCCCCGTTACTGAGCCTTGTAGGAATTCTGCAATAAAACCCAAGTTTCCTCTTGGCTTTTGGCATTGCCAATTTTTTAAGCATTCTTAGTCTCAGGACCAGTTATTCCTCATCCACTGCCTTTCCTTTTCCAATACTGCGGACCTTGTCAATTCCTGTCTCATTCCTATGCTTACAGATCTATCTGTTTCTTCTTAAGGAACCATGAAGCTGGGGCCCTAAGAACAAGTCCTGGTGTTTTCAATAATATTGCTCCAAAACAAAACTATCTGTTAATAACTATACATTACTTCTAATATGTCACTCTTGTAAGATCTGTGAACCGCCAAGAATCACAAACTGTTTGAGAAGAGTTTATAATTTGAAAGACAAACATAAAACTATTAAATGGTCTTCTCTGCCAGTCAGCATGGAGGGGCCCTCATGCTAACTCCAGTACTCATCTCTGGGATGAATTTCCTGGTTTTTATAAATGTATGCAATAATTTAGACATTTTAAGCAGAATTAAATTAAAATAGATTATAATTTAATAGATTATAATTTAGGCTGGAGTGATAGCACAGCCATAGGGTGTTTGCCTTGCACGCAGCCAACATGGCCAACCCGAGTTCGATTCCTCCGCCCCTCTTGGAGAGCCCGGAAAGCTACCGTGAGTATCTTGCCCACAAGGCAGAGCCTGGCAAGCTACCCATGA